CAGCTCTCCTCATAGGCCTCAGGGATCGTTTGTAGTGCAATTTGCGCTTCCAGGCTTTAGCCCCTTGCATATGAAGGGCCTTTCGCTTGGGTTTGTAAGAATAGTAAGGCCTCCATAGGTTGTCCTCCACATCATGGTCATTTCTGTCCTCCCTGACCTCCTGCCGGAAGAAGTATTTCCTCACCTTGCCTTTTAGTTTAGGGTTTTTCCATTTGGACTCCCCCTCCTTTCCTTCCTGACTGGAGTTACGGTGTTTACGTTGGTGGTGATTGGTGTGCCGCTGCTCTCTCTGGTCCTCCTGTGAGAGGTTACTCTTTTTGGGTTTGTTGCGTGTAGGGCTTTTGTCTCTCCTCAGATCTGTTTCAGAGATGCTCCGTTTGACAATCGCCTCCTCCCCTATGCGCACAGTAATCTGACAAAGTGGGCCGCTGCCTTTGACTTCTGATCCCACCGCTAAAGGTATTGTCTTACTTGACTCTGTTTTATTGTGAACTTTTCGTCCCTTGTGAAGTTTCTCTGTTGGCTGTCTGATTTTTGAGGCCTCTGCATCTTCACTGACAGCGTCCCAGTCCCTGTATGCCTCAGAGTGCTCTCTCTGGCTATGTTTTTTAATCTGTTTTTGACCTGTTTTTGCCATTAGATGATTTTTTTGACTTCTTTTTCTCTCCTCAGAATCCATCTTGTTTCTGTGAACAATGACAGAGGAAGAAACTGCAGCACTGTGCATGATGACCGAGGGTTTGCTGTGTGCAAATGCAATGACTGAAGAGACAGCATCTTCTGGGCACTTTGGAGTTTTGCTTTTGCCACTGTTGCTACCTGACTGCCATAAATCTGACCCCTCTGTCTCTCTTGCTTCTACTGCCATGTCTGTTTGAGGAGAAACTAGTTTTTTACCCTGCTCAACACCCACCCTGATGGGGAATCGTTCAGGCTCAGTCTTGATGTCTGTGGTTTGAAGATCTTTCAGGAAAGACTCCAATTTCTTTGTTTCCAGAGGTTGTGGAAGGCTGCTGTCTATAGACAAAGGCAGGGTAACTGATGAATCAGAAGTGAGTAGTCCATCAGCCATTGGCTGACTGTATGTTTTGTAAGGTCGTTTTAGAGATCGCATGGGCAGCAGGCGGTACAGTTTAAGGGCATTGACCTTCTGCTTGTAGCCACCATTGACTGTTTTTTCACTTGAGATCAAACCAGGATTGATACCATGGAATGCCTTTTGGTGTGTTTTAAGGTTGTAGTAAGTAGGAAATGCCTCCCAGCAAAAGATGCACTGGTAGCGCCTTTCACCTGTGTGCCACACCTCATGTTTGGTGCGGTACTCAGCCAGAGCAAAAACCTTGTCACAGTAGTGACAGGGGTACTTCCGCCGCCATGAATGCACATTAGAGTGTCGCTTCAGGCTGGACAAAGTCATGTAAGAGCGTTCGCACACAGAGCAAAAGTAAATGATATGTCCATCCACCACTTTTACAAAGTGATCCTCTTCCCCCAGGGCATCCCTGCAAGTCAGTGTTCCAGCATGACGGGCGTGAAGGTCTCGCACTTTCTTTATGGGTCGGCCAGGCCTTGTTCCTTGTCCAAGCTGTTCTGGCTCTGCAGCCTCATCTGCTCTTTCCCCCTCCACTTCACCCTCCTCCAGGAGCTCATCTTTGGGTGGCACTGGAAAAGCTGGCAGCCCTTGCCTGCAGGTGGCCTCATGGGATTGCAGTCTTTTATTATGGATGAAGGCTTTGCCACAGTGGCGGCAGCTGAGTACTCGTCCCCCCCGATGGAGACGCATGTGGACAGTGAGGGACGAGGCAGTGCTGAACAGACGGTGGCACACCCCACACAGTAGTTCTGGCTTCGGCACTGCCCTAAAGGAGTCATGGAAAGATGGCGTGGGGATAGTCAAGGGGGAGGAAGTTAGAGAGAGAGACGAGGGCGAAGGAGGAGGAGGAGGTGTTGATGAGGACGAGTGAGGGTTTATGCTAGGGAGAGGAAGGCTCAGTTCAACATGGAGGCTGTTTGCCTTGCGTTTTTTGCCTTTTGAACTCTCGGGATCCTTCACACCTTGGTCCTGATAGGCTCTCGCACTGAGGTTGAAAAGGATGTGTGCTGTTTCTGTTGTCGAATGCTCTTTGTACCCATTATTGACACTAACCCCAGCAGTCTCTTTTGAATAGTCAATTTTGTTAGAGTGTTGTAAGGGAGATGTTGGGTATCTGGAGCCACTACCATCAACAGAAAAGGACAGAGATGACTTGCAGTTCTTACTGACTGGGGCAGTTAGATCGACAGGGAGGGAAGAGGAAGTGCATGGCAGGCGGTCAGTTTTTGATGACTTTTTTGATAACTGTTTGTCTCTGAATGCTTCCCCCATCCATGCTGTGCCATCTGAACAATTTCTGTCATGGACGTCAGTGGAGGAAGTGGGGTGGGATGAGGAGCAGTGCTTCTGTGCAGAAAAGCTAGGCAGTCCAGCACTAAGGGGAAAACTGAGAGATATCCTCGTAGTTTTGGCACCATCCACCTCCTCCGTGCCCTCTCCCATCCTGTCTCCTCTCATGTGTTTATTTCGGTGTTTCATTGGATCCTTGTAGAAGTCCTCTGAGATGCTCTCCGAGGCTATAGTTGGCCTAAAACAGAGAACACTAGACAGTCAAAGGATGTGTCTGTAGTCCAACAAGGTCCAGGAAAATGCTTTACAGAGTGTCTGTTCTAGCTATATCTTCAGTGCAAAAGTTGACAGTTGAAGGATGGTAGAAAACAGAAGTGTCAAATCAAGAATACGGCAGTTCCTGGAGGTCAAGCCCAGAGACAACAACTCCTAGATGTAGGTAACATTGGAGGATGAGGATTGCCATGCATTGCACATTCAGCTCCAAGAATGCAGTGCAGGTGTGGAGAGGGTCCCAGCTATCCTCTCCCGACACCATGACCCCGCTCTTAATCCTGCAAAAAAACAAAACAAAAGATAGTTCAATTATTCTGTTTGAATCACAGGAAACATTGTAGATTTTAGACAACCACAAACGAAAGAATGTATTAGTATTATACTGACAAGAAAGGCACATGACAAAAAGTGTGCATTGTGTGGTGGCAAATCAGCATACTAGACTACCTATAAAATACAAGCTTGCACAAAATAAGCAATGCATTATGGTTATTATACACAGGCAACTTAGTCAGACAAGGTTGGTTGCAGTCATCTTAGTTTCTGAATTTGGCATGACAAAATCTGAAAATGTGGAAAGAATCTCAGCAATCAACCCCACTGAGTCACAGCAATCCCTTCACCTAATTGAACACTGCTAAAATTTAATTAAGATTTTCCCAACAGAGTGTTATTTATAGTCAACGTGCTCCAAATTAGCCTAGACTGAAAAGGTACCAAAATATAGATGGCCTTTTGAACCGAAGCATCATGTATTCCTGATGCAGATTTTTTAATATATGTATAAATATTTATTTTTACTATATATAATTTAAAGCAAAAGACCATGTGACGAGTACTGTCATGGAGTTTTCTTTAGCAGTCTGAGAATGAATAGTCTAGTCTTGCTGTGTTCATAAACCCTCTTTAGTTGCTTATTTAATGATCATCTTGTTTACTTAACCTATTTTACCAAAATATACCATAGATTTTGGTGAGCATTCTTAGTTATCGCTAATGATGCGACACCAGAGAAAATCCCCAGTCATGGTTTTCTAAAGCGCAGGCAGGCAGGCCTCTGTAAAATTCCACAAGCAGCCCTGAATGCACTGAAACTAGGTCAGCACTGTTATTGCAGAGAGAGAAAGAGAGGAGGAGGGAGAGCAATGGAGAGAGAGAGAGACAGAGAGAGGTGGGGAAGAAAGCAAGATTCAGGCCTGGAGACAGGAACAGCCACAAACACACACTTACACATGCACAGAAACACACACACACACACTGACACTCACACACACAGGCAGTCAACAAGCTGCATGCACACGCACACACACTCTCAACACGCAAACACATTTGCAGGCATGCAGGCACATATGAACTGGTCTGTCTGTAAACAAGTGGCTTGACAGCTAGCGTTACCCAGCATACCACAAATGCAGCTGCTGAGAGTCTGCAAAGGATGTATACCAGAAGACCTGTATAATAATAGATGTTACGTAAGAGTACATTTAGACAGGAAGAGTTGAATATTATTTAAACCTGTCCAGCACTTGTTGTGGCTGTGTCTGCTAAGTCATGAAACAAGGCCTAAGAATGACAGTTTTACATGGCGTTCGCATAGTAATGGACAAACACATCTGTCACCCTCTCATTTTCTCTCTACGTCTGTCCCTATTTATCTCTCCCTCTCACCCTCCTTTTCTCTTCGCATATGATGCGCACACTGCCTCTCAACAAACAGTCCCTGGCGCAAGAGGCTGGCCAAGCGTGACAGGGCCTTTGCCTCCCCCCTCTGACTGCCCCTCTACTTAAACATGCGATCGACTGAAAGAGTTAGAGCTGAAGTATTAAGGTGTTGCATCTTGCACAATAAAACATTGTTTATAAAGTCTATTTAAATAAAGGTTAACAAATCGACTTTATCCTAAATGTAGGAAATTAAAAACGAGCGTCAGAACCACGTCATCAGCCGGAACATGAAATACATGCTAGTCATGCAGATTACGATTTTCAATTTAAGCACATGAGAAAACTTGTTTTATAATACGGTCACCGGCGGATTAGGAACCGAGAAGAGTCTCGGAAGAAGCTGAGTAATGGGCTAAAGGTCTTGCGTTTAACTGTGTCACTGAAACAGACCATGCACTGAATGGCAGTGGAAAAGGGTAATGAGTGAAGGCCGCCTGTTTCCGTGTGGCCGTGACGGGGCCCACCAGGGTGAGGCAGACTGTGAAAAGGGGGCTGTCGCTAGATACTGAACTCTGCACAACCTCCTGCCAAAAACATGGTGGAGCCAGCCAGAGGAGAGATGAGGGGTAGGGAAACGAGCGAAAAGGAGGAGTGGGCTGTTTTGGAAGCAGTTGGGAGATGGAGCCGGATGGTCCGAGGTTGGGTTCATGGTAAGATTTCCTCGCTCCTTGCTTTCCCCTCTGAGCAAGTTATGGTATCTTTGTGATTTGGCATGACGGGCCATGCTCTAGCGAGTCTGCCCGTCTTACACGCTGTGTTCGACATGGTCCGCTGAGTTTAAACTCGACAAGTGATTCCCATAAATCTGTTGCTGTAATAGACCAGTTTCAGTGTTTGCAAACAGTGATGACGGTTTTTTTTGTGGGCGGTGCCTATTTGGTGGCAGAAAATGCCAGTTTTAACGTAGCAGTCTACGGAAGCCATGGAATAAAAGAATAAAAAGGTAATTTTGAGTTTTTATGTCAAAATTCTGACTTTTTTCTTGCAATTCCGAGATTATATCTCACAATTCTGGTAAGAAAAATCAACTCGTCATTCTCTCTTTTCCCCTCGGCTCAGAGTCATGAGTTTATATCCCACACTTCTGGCTTTTTTTCCTCAGAATGGACAAACTCGCAATTGTTGAGTTGTTATAAAGTCCGAAGTAGGAGATATAAACTTGCATTTGCAAGAAAAAAAAAGTCAGAATTGTGAGATAAAATAGGTAAATGTTATGTAAAATGTTATAGGTTTAAATAGTATTTCATGCTTTAACTGTAGGGCTAATACTATATGTCCCCTATGTGAATATTATGTAGACCTATTGTTTAAATCAAATGTATGCTTTAAAAGTAGGGTAATCATAGCTGGTTTCATCCATTGTTCGTCCATTTAAACATCTGCGTTTAGCTTCAAATGGCGTCTTTGATGACAGTATTATATAAAAATTATTTGCATTCAGATTCTGACATCCAAAGGCACAACAAAACATTTTTTCTCTTATTCCATCGATTTTACCCGTTTCCCTCCACTTGTTCCCAGTGTTTTTCTGCCACCACAATGCGCACGCAGCTGCAAGTGACGTAACTGTGACGTCTACTCCAAATTGGTCTATATGAGCAAGGACAATATTCTAAGTAGAGCAAAACTGGAAGAAAATTGCCATCACAGACAGAGTGAGATACTCCGCTAGTGACCTGGCTAAAGCTACTTCCTTTAGATTGTGCCTGAACCTGCTTCTATAATGCTTCAGTTTGGTTAGGAAGGCCAGCAGCACTGCCATGTTTGCATTCTAACTTGATGCCTCTGTCGCTACAGTATGCCAGAAACTTTATGCTGACATGTGCCAGAGTTTGAATAGCAAATATCCCATGCTAGCTGACTTGAACCCTTAAGCAGCGACAGGAAATTCAATTTGATCCTGGCGTATATGCAACTCACTTCTACAAGACCATACAACTTGGCTGCTTGGCTTCTAACGACCTCTGACCCTATGGCCTTGTAGGGGATGTTGATAGCGTACACTTTTTTTAAAGTGCAAGTGCATCTTATAACATCTAATAACATCCACCTTACGCAAAAACGGGTAGATGCCGTTTTTAGGAAAACGACTGGCTCTGTATTCCAAGACGCCGCTTGATCGTTAATTCTAAAAACATGTCCTTCGCTATCGAGATGATTTCGTCAGATGTGAACTTGCCACAACATAAAGTATCCAAATCCAGCAGACCAGAAATTATGATAAGAGAATGCAAAAAAGTCTGAAGCTTTATTCTGATTATACTTTAATCGTGGAGCGACTCTGAAACCAGCCCTGAAAAAGAACTGCGTGGTTCAGCCACAACAGCCAAGGATAAGGGAGACAGGCCTTGATTAGCGCACACACAAACCCACACGCACACTCATTTCTGGTGTCTACACAGAACCAAAACAACATCGATATGATATGAGAGTGGCATAGAAACGCAAGAAGCAGGAAGAGGTGAAGACAGAGAGATAGATCAGAGGAAAAAGTCTCTCCTTCTCACTCCCATTCTCCGCTAGGCAAGCACACAACAAGACAACGTACCTCGAAAAACCTTCTGCTGCATCTCGGCTGCGATGTGTTCTCTCTCTCACTCTCTCACTCTCCCTCCCTCGGTCTGTGTGTCCTGGTCTGCGTGTTCCCGTGTGCGTGTATGAGTGAGAGAGAGAGAGAGAGAGAGAGCACAGGGAAAGACGAGCGCGTGCACACAGGCAGCGCTATGTAGAGGGCAGAAACGACTCTCTCGCACTCTGACTCTCCCCCTCCTTCTGCCGCTCTATCTCTCCTTCCCTCGCCTGCTCTCTCACACTTCAGTTTGCCACTGACACATGATTCTGGACTGTTTTTGCATTTTTTATCTCCCCCAGCCTCGTACCCCTTACTCATCCACACCCACCCCCCAGCCTCATTTTAATTCCAATTCTCTTTTTATTCCAAATTTTGTTGTTCATTAGACACACACTTTCAGCATGCACACTCTCTACTCTACATACACCAAGCCTGATGATAGCAAGGAAGGGAGGGAGAGCCAGAGCGAGTGAGAGGACGCCATTTAAGCAGTTTGTTACGAGCACTGCCAGTCCCCAAAATGGCTGAAAACAAACAGGAGCCATGCCAACAGAAAAAAAGCTTGGCCATAGAGACACGAAGGGAAAGAGATAAAGAGTAGGAGCGGGGAGAAAGAGAGAGACGCCAAACAATACTTGGGTAAAACTCTTTAAATAAGTGAGGTAGCCAAAAGAGAGATCAAAGAGAAGGGCATGGACATGCACTTTGGTTTCCATTTTCTCCTCTCTCCACTTCCCTGACTAAAGAGGAGGACGTTTATGGCAAGAAGTGGTGGAATAGAGGAGTAAACATTGAAGTTTTTGGCCGAGACGGCCTTCTATGACAGATTTGACCTTCTCGCCATTACGTAGAGCAGAGAAATAGCACCTCTGCGTACTTTTTGTCCTGCTCTCGTTTACCGAATCACTCCGTCTGGCATCCTACTTACTCTCAATCTATAGCTACTGAAAAGTTCAGGAACCACCTGTTTTAAAATGGCATTGTGTGTGGAGAACTCTTTAAAATGGTCTGACTTGACATTCAGAAAAAATGTTCCAGCCCAAACGGACTTGCGGAGAGCAGGGCAACAGGATAAGGAAAATGAGAGTTCATACTGAAATTTTTTCTTGCTTTGGTCTTCCTCTTCTGTCCGCTTTTTTCATGCCCAAATTTCTGCCGAACAGCTCATTATACCCCCCATCCTACATTCCTTTCCCCTGTGCCCCTCGGTCCTTCTCTCTATTTTTCCTTTCTCTTTCGCACTCCTTCTTTTTCTTTTCTATTGTATGCCAGCCCACTTGTCTCCATGGGAACTCCGTTTGGAAGGGGTGTTGTTCTTATGATCTCTCCGACTTGTTGGAACTTTTCTCACACTTCTACGTGAGCTTGATTACAGAACTTTCGGTTCACATGTTTGTTTTAAACTGTTTGTTTCTTTTTGGAGTTTATAATAGTTCAGATAACCCATTCAGTAAGGTTTACCAAAAAAGTGATTCTACTTTTTCTTGAGCTGTTTGGGAATTGTAACAAGGATATAAGAAACTCAAAAATGCAAGATATTTCGCCACAGTCAATATTAAGAGCATGGTGCATATGCCAAGATATGTAGACATTAGACAATAGATGTTTTATCTCTCAGTATGGATAAGGAAATTGAGTTGTTGATAAGGAAGTTCGTATGAAGTAGTTGATTTAAGGTACCTTTGGGATAAGATCTTGGTTCAAGTCAAAGTCAGTTTGATAGTAAATGTTCAAGTATTATGCATTAAGCAAAAGTAAATTGATATATTTTATATTATTTAAATAGTATTTTAACTTTAAAAAAACAAAACAGAAGTAGGCCAGACAGAGGTGGTCTTGAATCAGCCATTCAACTCTGTAAACAAGCTTTGTCAAATTCCAAATTATTGTATTTGTCGTTTGATTGCCTCTAATCTTTGTCTGCTGTGAAAATAGGTGGCTGAAATGTTTCCCTGCTCACTGTTGATCAAAGGCCATCTTTAACATGACATATGGATCAGCAGACACTAATGAGAGGGCAGTGGCCAGCTGAATCTCCACAGTAACAAAAGAGGCTGGGACATCTGGAGTCAGCCACAGACTCCTGGTGAGTTTTGGGGAAGAGGGGGCTGTCGAGCGTCCGCCTGTAATGGGAGGACTGGATAACAAATATGGCAGTGGACAAATTAATGAAATGTCTAGTTAACCCTCTGACGTTTCATAGATTTGTTATCAGTCTGAGGACAAATAATCAGTGTTTGCATAAGATTAGCATGACTACCCAGAGCACAGAGAATCTTTTCATATCAAAAACTGCACAGTGAATCAGATTTAAAGTACTTGGTAATACAGGAAAATTTCACACTACATGGAAACCCTTCATGTCACATTTTTTAAAAATTTATACAAATTGAGTGAAAAGGTAAGAAAATAAGAAAATACACACACACACATATATATATATATACACACACACATATATAGCATCCACCTGGATGATGTGATGGCAGCCATAGTCTCATAGCGCTCAGTTGAGCGCAGTCTCAACTGAGACTGCGCTACTGTCAGTCACGGAAGCCTTGCGGATTGCAAAAGCTGATTCCAAATC